GGCACCGTGTCAAAATATACACCAATGGTACAAATGATACGTAACCAATATATAGTTCGGCTAAGTAGAGACTCCTTCATATATACGGGCACTGAACGATCTAGTTAATAGCGACGTTGGCAAGACACAAACGCGAGGCAAATAACAGCGAGTGAGTTGGTAAATTTCATCAGTTATTTACTATAACGTTAACTTTGTTGCCTGCTTCACATAGTAAAGGTTGAGTTAGGGGTCAGATCACTTTTATACTGTCAATCTTCCCGTTGTTGGCTAAATCGACCATTCATTGCCATCATCTAGCTTGATAATTAGTGAAGGACACTGCATAATTTCACTACCACTGGATGTCTTCACAAATGTTGGGGTGCTTTCTGCGTGTTGCTAGCGATTGACACATTGTAATCAATCATAGCCATATTTACGGTGGCTGAGAGTCGGCAGTGATAGCAGTGTATATGTGCATGTGCACATATATACTGCTGCTGTTAAGAACCGTTGGTGAGGCACGCTGCGTCGAGGCATTGGTTGTGGTCACAGGGGCTCTGATTAATGTGCAATATATTCCCAAGAAAAGAATTACTGTCACTTACCACCGTCTGTGGCCTTTTAGCTTACCAATCAATATAGACATTTCGTCTGTCGATGTACCCACGAAGCGATCTCAGGATCGCTATTGAGTAGCTATTTGAGGTTTTTGGGCTACCAATCAATCGCTGCGCCCTACAAGCAGCAGTGAAATTACCCGCACATATAACAATATGTATATAAATATCACGTAGAATTCGAAATACTACATTGACCATACGTTGGTGCCTAAATATATATTTATTCCTACATGTAAGAATCAATCAACTCTTATTTTTCTGAGATCAGAACATAATCGACGTACGCTCTTTGTAGTAATAATCACGTATAGTGCAAGGACCTTGACGGCCGAATTTGAACCGCCACGTCGGATAAATCGACTAAGGTCGTCTGCTCTACACGTAACAGTGGTGTTTGACTTTCCTTTGCTTTAAAAGAAAAGCTTGTTACTGAACATTTAGTAAATCAAAATCATAAGCTCTTGACTAAAACGCATGGTAAGTTAAGGATCTGTTTGCTTCTTCCAATTAAAGATTTTTATCCCTGAATATGCCATGAAGTCATTTATTATCGACCAGCGATTGTGGCATTGTTGCACGCTGTGTGTCCCATGTAATGAGAAAAACTACTGTAAAAAATCCAAAAGCACAACATTATGTTTCGTATATTCGTTTGAAATAAACGCAAAAATTTAAAGAAAAAAACAGACATTGACATTCCGAAGGAGGCCGATGATGATAATAAATAAAAGAAAACAATGTAGCGTACGGCGCCAAATTCGAAACGTGGACCAATTAGGCAGAGGGCCACCACTCCATATAACTCGAGGCGAGCGGATGAGCGCACGGTGATATATTTTACTGCTTCTGTTTATTAAGCCAAACCTCTCTTATCCCCTGAAAGATAGAAAGGGGAAAGGCAAAAAGCGGGAGTGAATACATGGGCAAAAAGCCCTAGAGTAATTGCTAGCAGAGGATGGCAAGGGAGGTCAAGGACATCATCACTGGTATATATTACTGTCCGATAGATATTGCCACAACCGAAGAGTCAGAAAAGGCCAAGAACAGAAGTAATAGTTCGTAACGTTTAGTTTATAACTACAAGGCCTCCAAAACAATCCTACAGTGGTTACTACTACGCCTAAAGTCGCCTGGCGACGATGTCTTCTATACGATACACCGCAGAGACACTCTTCCTTGTCGGTCTTCCCCCTAACCCACAGCCTTGTGGCACAATGTATAATCTATTCTATTATTTTGTGTTGTAAATAAAGTTCGTATCGAACGAAGGTAGCTTATGAAAACCAACGTGCTCATCACCACTTGAACTAGAAAACGACTGATAGACAAACGGATCAGGAACACACGCTCATGACATTAGCAGTAGTACCATCGTTTTTGATTGAAGGGATATTGGTTTGTTAACGATATAGATGCTGCCGTTGCGAAGTAAGACCGGTAAGAGCATGGCGCGAAGCGGCGAAATAACTTAACAGAAAAAAAAACTCAACGAAGGAGAGTAAAGAAAGCGAGAGAGAGGTTAAAAACTATGCACGATCATGCCACCCCTGATTACGAGGGCAACGGCAACAACGACGTACCTGCAGAAGATAGTACTAGCGATGGGGGCATTTACTCAAATCATGTCCGTTAAGATAAATTGCCGACAAAAAAGACAACAGAGACATCGAACGACGCAATCAGTAACGTAAAACAGACGGTACGGAATCGAGATACAGGATGACAAGAAGAGATATACAGTCCGCTACACAATGCCATCCAAAAGGAAATAGCGCCGTGATCAACGAGATATATATATGTATATATAAGTGAGGTGCACGGTACGTCGCTGTAATTGTTGATTGTCTTATGCATTTCTTTCTCTCATACGAATTTAAACTTTATCAGTAAACTCTTATTTTGTGACCTAACGTGAGAACAGACATACAATAATCACGTACAAACATCGGACAAAAGTGAGACCGGACCAGCGATTGAGCAACGAAGGCTGAATGATTTAAGCACAGAAATGGCGGCCGGAGTTGTATAAGATTATAATGCCATCGTGGAGAGTTGGCACATCAGTGAAGGAAGTATAGGGTCACAGAAAAGTAGGCAGCACTAGGCTATCTACAAGGAAGGAGAAGAAGAAAAATGAAGAGAAAGGAACTAATACAGACTGGAAAAGTAAAACGATGTCGAAAGCGAACTGCGTTCACTTATTCACTGTCATCCGTGGGCTTTTGTCCCGGCATTTGCCACCCGCTGTTCTCGGTGGATAGCAATTTCAGACGTAACGGTTACAGTGTCACCTGGCTTCATTTACAGTACCTAGTACTACAGGCTTCAATAATAGTGGTTTTGTGAATAGGACGAAGGTGCGATGGCCACGCCAACGCAAACGCGCACTCACACATAGACGAAGACAGTGACGGCTACATAGCTGAACGACGATTCCCGTTCGTATGCAACGAGCGACAAGAAATAGCCATGGGACAATGGAGGTCAATGAAACCGGCAGACAGAAAGACAGCCGGACTTACGTTTCTGTAAAGGTGCCAGTGTGTCAGTAAATGGCGCAAAGGAGAGAACTGAATCATAGCGGAGTAACACAGCACAATGGGACTGAATGATATTTTCGGCAGCCAGATTATCTCGGAGTGAATTATTTTAGAAAACTATTTTAGGCCATAGTTTAGGCTTGCAAGCGTGACAATCTGTTAGCGCATTTACTGGGTCCGAATGTAACAAACGATATCAAAAATATCACTAAAAATAGTTTTGTGTAAATGCGTTTTTACAGATCGAATGGTATCGTTGAACAATGATTTTTCAATAGATTTAATCGATCATTTTTCCTGACACTTTCTTATATGTTCATTTAATGTTTTCTTTAATAAGTCAATGGATTACTTTCCGTAATAAAAAGCGATCAAGATTTACGATTTTTTCTGTGTAGCCACTGCATATACTTAGACGAGCACACCCCTACGCCGTTCTCCTAACTGGAGTAACTCTTTCTTCGACCACTCCTAGACGAACATGTGTCCTATTTAGAACGTGTCGTTCCAACCCTTCTTCATTTCAATGGGCAAAAATCTCTAACTAGGCCAAACGGAGAAACCGCGGCACGGCCATGAGCTGGCAGCAGTATACAACAACAACAGTAAGGACATTAATAAGGAGACTACCACATACGACAGAGTAAAAAAAGATGGAATGGGGGCAATAACTAAATTGGTCTCGGTTCTGTTTCCTTATTCCTAACACACTAAACCCTCTGTTCCGCCTCCCCGATTTCTTTTTCCGTTTTCAGCAAGTGGGTAAAAGGCAGAGTTGTCTGACAGGACACGTGCTAGGCCTTTATAAGAAAAGAACAAAGGAGATCTGTTATTCTTTACTTTTCGTGCACTCACTCCGCTTGCCTCTCTGTTACTAGTTACACGAAACAACGACAACACACGGCTGCTTAGCCATCTGGGTCTGGTCCTTCTTCCTGGTTAGCTATCATTGTTACTGTTTCCTTTCGCTAGTACACTAGGTCCTTTAGCCTGCTATCGGTCAAAAGGACCCTGCCGTTTTACCGCTACGCATTGCAAGCCTCACAACAATATGAACGAACAGCGACTAACGATGTCTTCTTGTTCGAGTTCACTTATGTTTTCGCAGCTTTACCATACGGCTTCTATATGCTGGCACATGTTGTATGGGTGTCCGATATTTCTAGGTATGGCAGGCAAGAGACTAGCTGTTACGCTCTTATTCCGTCTCGCATACTCCTGCATATTTAAAACAATATACAACGCAGGTACACATGTAACTAGAATGGAATGGCTGGAAGGCTAAATCTGCTATTTTCTGCCATTGCTGCTGCTGTTACCAACAGTATAGAGTGGTACTCATGTATTTTTTATGATAGTGTTGTTGTTCATTATTAACAATCAACGTAGCATCTAAATGTATGCCATGAAACTATTCGTATAGTACCTGCCACGCGTAACGAGGGCTAGACAGGCAGGGTAATTAGAATAAATTATCTACATCAGAAAATGAGACGCTCTGTGTCCAGCATTGTTTCACTTAAAACGTCCGGTGAGTTATCGTATCGTGCCACGTATATGATCTACGTTTTGGAAGATTCAGTACCCTGAACAGATAGCTTAGCAAGTCGAACACGTCTCATCGTCTGCTTCCGCGGACAGAACTCACCACAACGTACTTTAGCTAATCGCTAACGAAATAGCTCAAGTGCAACGGGGTACGTTTGAAGAAAACCTTAAATCGAAGGCTTATGGTAAATACGAGCTCGCACTGTTCACCTTTTTAGGTTCTGATAGCCTTGCTCTCAGCCGAGTATCAAAGTTATCCTTACTAAAATACAGGTTTTCTTTTTTGAAATGAATTTCATCTACATACCTGCAGTACTGGTGATCGATACCGGTGCGCGGTTGTCGGATAGCGTTGGAGTTAGGTGCAGGTGACGCCGCTGCTGCTGCCGCTGCTGCTGCTGCTGCTGCTGTCGTAGCTGCTGCTGTTATTGCTGTGCTTGCAACTGTTGCAGAAGGTGTGGAAGCCCATGGCTGCGCAGTACTCGGAAGCGAGGGAATCACAGCCGCCATACGAAATCACTTAGTGCGTCTACCCGCCTGAAAGAACGATGCGTGTCGTGTAGTCACTAAGCGATTTAATAACATTCGTTGATTCACCATTCAGTGTCATTAAAGAAGCAGACGAGTTTCGCTGAACTGCTAGGCGATGCTAAAAACTACTGCACAGTGATGAGTGCCATACAATGACACTAACAGCAGGCATTCCAAATGGGCAAAACAAACAGTTTGAAGAGAAGGCTACTTTTGAAAATGGGGTATGTTTTAAAAGAAACTTGATCAGTATTTTTTTTCGAAACTCGAGACCTGCTGGTAGGCTTTTCGCTCCGGATATTGCACATGCATAATTGATGACGTGACGGGACGCAACGATTTTGAGTGCACTGAGTGGACACAAGTTCTTACAAGGGACTTCTCAGCGGGACCCTTTTTTAGCTAAGACTTCACTGCGACGCGCGCTGATATAGAGTAAACCACTCTCGAGGCAGCGGACAAATAATGACGTTTCCTCTATGTGAACAGAATGTATTCAAGTCAGGAGATCATATGGTCAGTCTAGCGCGTGTAATATTAACGTATTGCTATTGTAATCGTTGGAGAGCGTTTGACGGAAACATGACAGACGACCAACGCGATTACCCTTTTACACGAACTGCACACGACATTTACGGGCTAACCCCCATGGCTCATGTGTGTCCTACGCTTTTTGCCCGGCTCAATTGCTGCAGAAGCTGATGAGCGTCGCGACAGCGCTTGTAGATAGAGCCTGCTGTGGCCGACCAGTCTTCTTTTTTAGGTGTGCAACTGTGCGAACACCAGGTAGTCGTCAACAAGCAGCATGCGGCGATGATCTGCGTTGTCATCGTCGATGTACACTTCTATCCCACGTTATTATCGTCACCCTTTGCATTGTCAATTTTTCTACCATTTAACTTCAGACAGGTCGGACAAAAGCAAGGAAACTTTAGTGGCCCGTTCAGCTAACCAGCGATAGGCACACCGTCATTTAGGCAAAAGTATTTTTCCGCTGTGGCTGTTAATTATGGCTAAAGTTTGACAGCCACAGTTCGGTTGTGGTTATAATACGCAGAGTGCTTATTTTAGTGATACCTTGTGTCTAGGAAGCGCTTCTAATGGAGCATTTACTAGATGATCTTGTTTGTTCATCTATCATACAAGAAAATAAACCAACATATATATATGCTTTGCGTCGTAGTAGTGGCTAAATCTTATATGCACGAAGATACGGCGTTTACTGATTCCTTGTGTCCGCAAACGGTACAATGCGGGGTCCTAGTCCACGTATCTGGGTGGGATGTAAGTGTCCTTTTTAGTTCCTACACTATAGTGGCTAAGCACAAAGCAAACAGAGAAACTAGGATGCATGAACACACAATATGCGTAAGGCAGTGTCTATATTTTCTAAAACAGTTATGTCAGGAATACAAAATGGGTTGGGTTTTCTTTTTAGTTACCGCGAATTTTCTGCGGCGACTAGGTAGTCAGCACCGCTATCGTTCACGTGATTCAGTTTCGGTAAATTTCATTGTGAACAAAATGGTTATTATATACAGTATAAACTCGCAGTAATTTGTTTTTGCAACGGCTATATTCATACAAGCCGATACTTAGTAGCAGAAGGATTTTTGACAATACGAGTACAAATGATTCCTGGTCAGAGTAATTTTTCTTAACTTAGTCAAAATAAGCCAATTAATGAGATAAACAACTTGCAGCCACAACAACTATGAAATATCATTGTTTCCCGTAAGAACTTTCGAATCTTTTTCAGAACAATGAAAACAACAATGATTCGTTTAGGAGATGCAATAGTTGACCTTATATATAATTGTCGTAATTAAGATTACTCTCGGTCGCTGTCGTCGCTACGCTTTAGGCCTCACGGGCATTTTTCTCATAAAAGGTGTCATGTCAAATGGTCAGAACCTTTCATAACAGCGTCCTGTCGATTGCTTCTCGTAAACTACTGCGGTCAGGATTTGATGCCTATTCTTCGCCGTTAGCAACCCACGCAAGGTACATCATCACTACATGTTTTGCGTTTCGTGCAGAAAGTGAACCTGAAACTGAACGTCCTGGCTACGTCAAGAGCTGAGAGCGCAGAAGTGACTGTCTTCACAAGTCAAATTACATACTGGCTACTGAATACAAATGACGAAATCGTGACACAGCTGATTCGATAACAACGACAAATGCTTAGAATACATCGAATAGGCCGAGAATTGAGGATTTTTTGCTGTTGTGTTATAGATTCTGATTTCTTTTTCTACCGATAAGTGATCTTCTTTGAAATTACAAAATCACTTTTTTAAAAAATTATATACAGCTTTTTCTTTTTTTTTCTTTTTGTTGTCCGTCAGTTCTGTCGGCTTCAGTTCTACCAGAAAACGAGCTGAACTATATTTTTGAACAAAGAAGCATCGACAATTTGAATACGCTCTCATAGCTCTAAAGGAAAGCGAAATAATACAGCCTAGCATAACGGGCGGCTTGAACTGTGAAAGGAAAACGCATTTATATTCTGAACATAAATTTATTTTTTGAATGAACATAAATTTTAGGACCTAAAACAAACTGAAGTGCAATTTTCCTATATGCTTAAAGGCCATTTAACAGTGTTACCAAGTCTGTTTAGAAATAGCAAATATGGCCACAAAAACAGGAAGGCACCGGGTTAGAATCGTTGAATGGTACTCCAATTTTAGCCAGAATTAGGCAAGCGCAGACCAACTAGAGTAGGCCAAGTCACCGGTGCATCATTGACACGCGAAACATCGTTTGCCCTCAGAATCTTTTTGCCTCATTCGATTTGCCATGAGCCGATAAGCTAAAGCTGCGTCGAAAGAAAAGACAAATCATCAACCACAAAAGTAGAAAATCTCGGTAGGTTTGTCAACGGGATTTAAAGACATTGGCCTCTGTGGGCCACCTAAAGGGGTGAATAGGTACTAATAGATTTTATATGAAGATAGAGGTTGAGTTGCGATACTGCCAAATAGTGGGCACCTTTCGTTCATATGCTATTATGAACGAAAGGTGCCCATTATGTTAAAAATCCCTGTCTATGAACTCATAGCAAACAAAACGCTCATGTCAGCTTGCGATGCGTGATTAACCTCGAATAACACTTGGCCTCAGAGTTTAATGGCAGTTCTACGGTAAAGGTCTACAGGCTTAATATGTTATTAGCTCTATCGGTTATCGTATAATAGCAATTGACAAGCTCAGCTCCTTCCTTTAGGAAGAAGCTGAGTTTGTGCTGCACGTTTTATCGACTGTATATCTAAAAAACCCTCGTTCGGTTCGGGTGATATTCAAAGCAATAGCTGTTTATGATAACTTACTCTTTCGCTCTTTCTGTGGTACGAAGCCAGAACTTTGCCGCAAAAAAGTCTATAAAGCTAGTCGCAGTTTTGTCTATACGACATAGGCAGCCACTGGAATGAACAAGTAGGTCCTGCACTGTCTTCGAGAGATTCACCAAAAAACTATTCAATGTCATTATATGCAAGCCGAAGAAGTTATTGTCCGCACACAGTGTTTCACGTTTGTAAATTATGACGCGCATCAATTCAACGCTGGATTACAATACTGCGTTTGAACGTATCCAGATGTATTTTCAGAGAGTGACCAGCAGCGATCTGCTCTTGGACCTAATTTTTTCGTAAAGAGTTGGCATTCTGCCGGCTGGACCTTCACCTGAAGAGGCCAATGAAGTCGAAGCCAAAGTAGTTCGTTTCTTTTGTATGTTGGCATGACGTGTAGGTAGCCCTTCCGCCTCTTCCAAAAATATCAACGTCGCTTGTTGAGCCGCTCATTTCCTTCCTTCCATCTAGCTGACCTTTAACTAGCAGCCTTCTAGATCACACCAGTGAGAGTTACCGGCGAAGCCGAGCAAAGGCGCTGCGCCTTTTCCCTCTCATGAGACTTATGAGCAGCGGGTATAGATGGAAGGCCATTCCATCATGAAACCAACCCTGGGCCAACGTCCCTTCAACTCTATTTAGGTCGACCCGAGAACGCGAGTTGAGTGAGAAATAGATATGAAATCTACCGCCGTCTGTTGAGTGAGCACCAAGGAGTCCACTAAGCCAACATGCACATGCATTTTGCAGACCTAACCTCTATGCACCAATGTGGCCTTGCATGCAAACTGCACTTCTCCGAAGTGCTGCTGCGGCGGCGTAGCTTTCATACGTTACCTTCACTACTATTTGTAATGCCCCGTTATAATGTTTGACATCATGGATCCTTTGGCCGGGTAAGACGCGTTAAGCTTACGAGTAAATTTAGACGACAAAAGTTTGTGCGTGATTTTCAGAATTTCGTGTCTTTGTTTTTATAACGATCGGCCTGCTTTTGCTATCAGTATCTTCTAAGGCGATGCAATATACTAGGACGGCAAAGGGCGCACGAAGGCATATCGAGGGCCCTAATATTTGGAGCGGACAGAACAATATCTGTGCTAGCTCAATTGTCGGACCTCGTACAGACTCGGTGGGGAAAATTAGAATCCAGTATTATAATTGTTCGGTTGCATTCCGAACCAAAAAAGCTTGCACTTCTGGGTGGACTTGATTTCAGGGTAAAGGAAACTTTAATTGATACTGACAGATGTCTAAGTTTTCTGCTTCATAAGGATAGAATTAATTTTCCGGTATCAGCGTGCTACCGTTCGAAGTTGCTGTACCGTTACGAACGCATGGAAATGTTTCTAAATAGATGAGATGTTGAAGTGAACTGCAATGTCTTCTCGCATCGTATTCTGAAGTGCCGTTACGTTGTGAAGCTTACTTTTTCTCTTTAAATTCGCGAAAGAAAGCCGCGAAATACTGCAACTTCCATCGATATCAACAAGATCCTACAACCAGTAATAAAAACATAGTAATTTAAAATAGACATCAACATATTACTACGTATTAAAAACTGCACCTTGCCTGTTTTGTACACAGATAGTTCTAAATGCGTCAAATCTGATCTCTTGTTTTACCATTATGACAATGGGAAACATCATCTCATCCAAATACACAGTCCCATGACGAGCGGCATGTTAATGAAACCTAATGGGAAACATATCGTAATAAATATTAAATTATTCTTTTCTCGAAAGAACAGTAGAAATGGGAATAGCCGTTCTTCAAGGCTGCACGTTCCTCCTTCGAGCCACGAAAATGCTCCTTTGCCCTTAGCTACTTTTCCGTCTTTTTTTCGCTACTAGGGCTGCTTATAATGCGCAGACAATTTTTGTCCTTGCTTTGATACAAATTTGTGATTGTTAAAGAGAGTGCTATGGGAACACCACGATGCAAAAATACATAAACACTCTTACGTCCGTAAAGAAGACCGTCCTCTCAAGACCTGGTTAAGTCAGTTATCAAACGTGTTATAGCAGCATTTCGACGCAAACATTCGAGTTTACTAAACATGTACACATTGAAACACTGCCTAAAACATTTGCAAAAAACTCCTTATCGAATGTTTGTAAGCGCGTTTCTCGACGATACGCTCGTTATTTTACAGAATCAGCTAGTATAATTAAAGTGGAAAGGTGTTCGGCTTGGTCGCAATTTACTGAATTCTCTATGAGGCGCTTGCCGTCCTATATCTAAGCGTGGACTTCGAGATCTAAATGTAGATGGGTTTAGAAGGAGTACGAATTTCACCTTTGTACTAACAGTGGTAGTCATAGATAGCGATTCCGGTCAATACATTCACTATACGTTCTCATGTAAGGGTTACTGCCATTTTGAACATCCGCTATGTGATGCAGATCGCGGCTGCTTTCGCTGATAGGAAGTTCGCTTCGATCGAGTGTTGCCCTATACATTGTCTGTCAACCTGCTGATAAATTCCCGAAAACCACCGGCGCGTTTAAAATGGTCTTTTTTTCTTTGTAGTAATTTGATTAATGGGGCAGCAGAAAACTGAGTAATAGTAGTATACATTAGTTCGTTGGGGGTACCTTATGCCAATAGAGATGACCAATTAAGTTCTTAGGCAATCGTGAAAAAAATGTACATATATATGTCGATAAATGTTCGATAGTATTTAACTACTAGCTATGGGATAATATCGCATTAATCCGAACGACTTAGGCTCACGCAATGAAGATTAAGTTCAGCAAACATTCTACTTTTTCTATCGTCCCCTAATACCGATAGAGTTAGTTAGTATCTAGTTATACCATACAACTTCGTTAATTAACGCCGCTATGTAACTCAAAATGCACCTATAGCCTTGAGTTGTATGCCACCACTGTTTTTCCACGGTCGCGTTGTTACTACTTTCAGCATAGCCAGCTGAAAATTTACCCGAACTGCAATGGGCAACTTCAGTAACTCCGGCTGAAAATGACAAAGTACGTGTCCGATATGTAAGACTATTATTATGTGATAGACGGCAGGAAATATATGATAGAATAATGGAATAGAGGCTTTCAAAAGTCGAGGGCAACGGAGATGCCGGAGTTTAACTGGACAACCGCTCGCAATGCTTACATACAAGAAACAGAATGTCCGTATTTTGAACAATTTAAGGTTATTGTTAGGATCGAGAAGCAAATGATAAATAGATAAGGGTTAGTGAAAACAGTTTTAGCAGTGTACACATTTCAAAACGCTTACACGATGCTTGTTTGAATGTCAGATCTTAATTACCGGCTATCTGTCAAATATCAGATATAAAAATGGCAATCCGCACCTTTTCTCGACTAAGAACTAGCCCACAAAAACATGTTTACTGCCCATTGCTTTTTTTTTTTTTTTTTTTTTTTTTCGATTAGTGTAAATGGCTCACACATATGTGCGATAGTCGTATTGGAAACATGCGGTAACTTTTGACTCATCACAGCTTGACAAAAGCCCTTAGAGCTAATGAGCCACTTTAATTTTTGTCTTTTCTTGTTAATGCGTTTAGTCAGAATCTAGACCGTCATTGTATTTTACCTTTACTCGAAAGAAGAAACACGGCAACTGCGTAAACATACAGATCATTTTTGGTTCGCACACAAGATGTGCATTTTGCCTCTATTGCTCAAAGTGCTATTATTCATTCACTAGGCCTTTTGTTAAGCAAGGGGCGGGAGGTTAGTGAAGAAGGTCAACAACTTTGTCTTGCGGCGCACGGATTATGTTGCTGTGACGGGGGCACCGATATCATTAACGAAGGCTCGTATTTGTCCTGCAGTTCCTATTGGGATAGTTGAAAAGCACGGGCCGCGAACTATGCGGTTAGAATGCAAGGCACTGCTTACCCGTACGACCGGTCACATCAATGCCTCGATCCCCTTCTCCTGAACTACAAGCTGGCGCTCCTATATTCATAAGATGACTGGTCAGTACAAAAAATCACGAACTATTCTTGTTCGTTTCATTGATCACCGCTTTGCTGTTCATTCTGTCTGGAGCGATGAAATCGTCAACGGAAATTCCGTCGCCTTCACGTAATAGCATCTATCGTTGCCATTGTCAGCAACAAGAGCAAAATCATTATGATCTCCTATTGTCATAATGCTAATTAGTATACACGCGGTCGATTATTTAAAAAAAAAAAATAGGATGAAAGAGACCTCCTCTTCTGTCCTAAAGCCTGTGGCCGCAGCAGGGCCAGTTCCAGGCAAGCAGAAGTTATTGCTGTCGTCGCCAGTTCTCCTTTTCGATACGTGATGTGTGACGATGCTCTGTACGTACTGTACGTGATAACACATGCTGCACGCAATCAAGCAACAAACCAAGGGCCAAACGGGGGGGGGGGGGTCAATTCGCCTACCACCTCCTATTCTGCTGAAAAATCGTATGTCCGCTACGCTGTGCGCATTGGAAGACTAGTATGTGTTTTCATAGTGGCTGCAGTTGGCCTGGCTTTAGTGGTCTGCCTTTGCAGTTCAAGCCTCTTTAACTAGCATAGGTATCCCCCAAAGAAAAGCGTAGGGGGTTATACACAGGGTCGTGGGATGTCAGACAACGAAACCGACATGCTAAACATAAAGGCGAAAAAAAGGCCAGCGACGATTGATTCATTGACATATTTCTGCTTGTTTCGATAACGTGCCGCATTTCAGCCAATCAACAGGAATGAAAATGGCGATTCGTTAAAAGCCGAAGCAAGCGGAACTGGCGACGCGATCGGTAGTAGCACGGATCGCTTGTTTGAAGACAGACGAGATGAAATGAAGGAGGCACAAGCTTTGAAAGCCGACGCTTGTTGGTATGCTATTTTTTACTTGTTTTATGGATTCTTAGTCTAAAAGTATTACATATTCGTTGGTACCATCGCAGTTTGTGGTATCGTATCGTTATTCATTAGCCGCAAACTACGGAAAAGCCTGCGGCGGCAAGAGAGGCGTACACAGGTGGATGCGGCCGTTTAAAAGCGAAACAGCTGCAACGAGCGACCGTTATAGTACCAGCGTTAGGTAATTCCGAACAACTGGCCTATAGCTGCATCAAGGAGGATAGCCGAGGGGTTAGAAGTCACCGAGTTATGGCGGCGGTATCAGCCGTAACTAGCTACGTCATACCGCCGCCAATAGCTACGTGAAACAAATGATATAATATGTGTAATTTTACTTCCATATGCGACCAAAATACAGAGAGCATATATTCATATTGTACGTATATCTCGATTACTGTGTCAACAAAGTAGTGGCTATTGCCGTTTATTCCGCTGTACATTTGTAACGTTTTGCCTGCTGATCCTCGATAGTTGGTCGTCACCGTTAGATCTAGACGACTCTGCGCTACCGCTGCTTCATCATTAACTTACTGTAGCGGCCATACGCATTTCAGAATTTGAACTACAACTTTGTGACTCAAATGAAACGATAACGAAAAGAAAAAGGTAGCGACCGATACATAACGTTTTACCGTCAGCAAACGACAAGTTAAGCAGTAAGTATTACGTGCGTTGATATTTCCACCATGAACGATGTCGCTCTGTCCCATTGGTGAGCGACAAATTTCATCGGCGAAATGAATAGGACCAAGGAATAACCAAAAAGGTCCGTCTTTCATGCAGCCCAGATAAGTCGGACATTATAACGTTGCGGCACAATCAATTTTTCTGTGTCTGTTCAGACAATATAGTGTATACGTCTCAGATAGCTAGCTTTATATGCCACTTCTAGCGTTATCAGTGCTGTCGCTACACTGAGTAATATTATTATTTCTGTCATAAGAGAAACGGCTGTATCATTTACTGCGTCCCAAAGAAATGATCCGACACTAACCCGATTTTCGGGTCTTCTAATCTGTGAGATCATGTAGGCTTTGCAAACGTTTCTTATTATAGACGATGGCCTATGAATCTCCTCGTGAAGATACTGCTTTTTAATTGAGTTCGAGCGCAGACGTGCTGGTGGTCAGCAGTTTCAGAGAACAGGACGTAAAGTACGAAAAACATGACGCACGCTTCGGTTATGGAGCGTAATAACACAGAGCTTCTTCGCCAATCTTTGTACAGAATTCGACAATGAGTCCCTTTTAGTCAGGTTAGTTGTTGTTCTCGAACTATTACGGCAGTTATCAATCATAACACGCCCTTGGATATCGACAAAAACGTATTACATTTTTTCAGATATATCGGGGATGTTCAGGCGAGGAAGACAATCAACAAGCACTTAAAGAAATCAATGGAGGTCCTATAGATGACACTCTTTATCTGTTCCTATAAGAGCGTTAAAACAAGACTAAGTAGTAGAGGCGATCGCAGTGCTTGAGTAGCGGGCTTCTCCAATACGTTCTCACTGAATGAACTTTTCCGTGGTCAAATCGACACGCAGAGCAGTATCAAAATTTGCTGAATCGCTTAATCTTACAGCTTGAATCGTATTGGGTTAATCCGATCTTCGGCAACGTTCGATAGCTCCAAAACGACTTCTTTTTTGTCATTGAAAAAAGCTGCCCAGTTAAGGACTGACTTCGAATTTTCAAACAGCCTGTATATGGCGAATTACGCGTATGATTATGTAACACATATGTATCCTACAGATATTTCTACACTGTGTGACGTGCTCTTGTTTTAATTGCCCTTTTCCGCTCTCTAAGCGCGCTTAGTTGTGATTTTCGGTCTGGATGTCCGGGCGTTATTTCCCACGTCTGTCAACTGACCTGACCTCACCCTCTGAAGGTTGGTCTAAAGTTTTGAAACATTTAGAGTAGGATGGAAGCGCGATTGTCCTATTTGATACGAACATGTTTCTTTCCACCAGCAAACATATAGAAACTATATTCAGTTGTCAAAAAGGTCTGCATGCCCCTTATTAGTTTTGTTATCTACGAAATGTCCAGTGGCTCCTACATGAATATTATATGTTTGTTTGGAGCGTATTTTTTGTTAGGTTCTTTGCCACTACTGCTGGCTCGGTCATTTTTACTTTCTCTGCTGCTTCCCCAAAGTCTTTAAATGACCTTCTGTGTTAAATCAACACGCGCGTTCGTCCGCTCCCGTTTTGTGCAAATTGCGACCCTGTTTAGCTGTTTGTTTCCTAGGAGCAACCCACCTGGCGCAAGCAGTGGCAAGCCAACGTTACGCCGAGGAAGCCAGAGAAAAGCATGAACAGGAGAGATGGAACAGTTATGAGAAAAGGTCGTCGCTGCCCCACTGAGGGACGGACGACTCTCTCTACCAGTAACAGCAGTAGTTCACATATTTGCCGGCTAACGTCAAGAACAAGTGATGCTCTAGGTTCGAATAGGTGTTGTGCTGAGAGAATCACCGCAGCGCCCAATGACGAAAGCATCTTGTTTTTGGTAGCTCAGTAGAAGCAAGTTCTTGCTCTCTCTTTCAGTCAGCCATTTTTGTCGTTGCGCGTGTCTCTGTTTTGCGTTGACCGTCGCCGCCCCCTCCACAGGTACCGCCATGTTGGTTTTCTGCAGCAGTTTGCATTGCCGCTGCTGCTGCTGCTGTTGTGGTCCCATTAGTCGAATTGGCGGCGGGCGATCCACTCGGTAAGTGGACCTTTTATGGAGGGATGTTGCTGCCTATAGTTTAATAGTTCTGTCTCTTCAGAAACAGCATCGACAACAGCGACTCGAGCGCTAACGATACGGACAGAGCCGAGTCCCGGTTGTGTTGCTACGTGCGACGTGTCTTAGTTATCGTCGTCGTCATCGTTGCCGTCGGCGGCGGGTACGAAGATACCTCGCTGACGATCCGACGCAAGATGTGAAAACGAATCGTTTTTTTTTCTTTCTCGTCACTGTCGCCGCGACAGCCGCCACCTCGGCAGCGGCGTCGCAAGCCAACCATGCACTGCTGTTACGCCCCAAAAGATGAACTGTGGAAACGAATGAAAAATAGACAAAAAACAGGCGGGCCGGCGGTGAGCCACGCAGCAGGCAGAGGAACGCTGTAAAAATTCAGAGGGGGAGTGGGGCACCAAAGCAAGGAACTAGTCTGTTCGTTCGTAGCAGCGGCAGCGTTAGTGGCTGTTAGCGACGAAACAATCACTGTAAGGAGTAAAAACATCGCCGTGATGAAACTCTTGCTGCTGTCCGACCCAGAGCCTAGTTATATTAACATCGACCGGCCGATCAATGTTGACAACAGATCCGAAAACGAGAGCTGTTGGTTTTAGAAATCAAATATTCGTTACTGTCAATAGTAGCGGTAGCAACGCGTAGTGGCAACGATGTTAGGGCTGAGAAAACGATTTGAAACGTTCGCCATTAGATGATGTACTTTTAAAATGATGCCAATACTTGGCCGAGTACATAATGGCTCATTATCGAGCTAACGGCAGTAAAGGGTACAGTGAGGCCTTTAGGAAA